TGTGTGGTTATTCACAGAATTCAGCTCCTTGGAACTATAGGACTGTGAGCTTCAGTTTTTCACTTGATGCTGGCCAGAGACCACCCTAAGCTCCTAGAAGTCACTGAAAGTTCCTTGCCACATGGGATTCTTCAACGTGCCACCTTTTCTCTTACAGCCAGCAAGGGAGAACCTCCAGTAAATGGATGCTGTAAGCTTACATGACATAATCATGCACTCGTAGACATCCCATCACCTTTGCCCTCTTATCATAGTTAGAAGTATGTCACAGGACCTACCTTTACTCAAGGGGAAGAAGCCATACAAAGGTGTGGACATGAAGAGATGGGGTTTGTGGAGGCTACCTTAAGAGTTTGTTCTCTACACACAGTTACATGGATGAACTTTAACAACATTATGTTGAGTAAAATAAGTTAGATGCAAAAGAGTGCATACTGTAAAATTCCATTTATATGAAACTGTAGGTAAGGCAGAACTCATCAACAGTGACAGAAAGTGTAGCACTACCTGGGAGCTGTGGATGGATTAGGGTGGGTGTTTGCATGTGGTCAGAGATAGGAAACTTGCAAGTGATGGAAACATTCTATATACTGATTTTGGTGCTGGTTAAAAGGTTGTAAACGTTTTTCAGAATTCATGGAATTGCACACTTAAAATGGTTTCACTGTATTGTTTATAAATTATATCAAACTAAAGAGGATTAAAGAAAAAGAATAGTAATAGGCTTGAGCATCCCCAAAATTTTAACTTAAATATGCCAATTAAATCTAATAATGTCTTTAAGATATGCTCAAGAGTCAGTAATCAGAAAGTGACTCATTTCATAATATATCACTTGAAGAATTTTCACAGTTAAAAAGTAGAGATTCTTGTTTTTATAGATTTTTATAATATATATACACCCAGAGCTGGCAAAGATCATTTTTTAAAAGATGAGGCTTTATTATAGTGTTGTCTTCTCCTTGAGCGAATTAAACAACACATATTTCTAATGTAGTATCTTTTAGATGCAGACTCCTCACAAGCTTTCCATAATTTTAGTTCTGAATGATCACCTCCTGAATCTAGTGATAAATGTTTCATTTACCTTAACCCCTGTTGCCACTGCTTCTAAAAGTATATTAGCCGTTTCCAGTGCTTACAGAAATTTGAAAAATGTATGCTTCACGAAGTATTTTCCTGCTTGCTTCGTCTAGCCCCTTTTAGTGATTAATGGGAACTTTAATTTGCATGCTCACTTTTACGCTTATTATAGTGTGTTATGTTCCAATAAGAGTATTAAAGTTCAATGAAAATTTCATGCATACTAATGAGAATGCAGATGAACACTGATGAAAGAATGCTAGGATCTTAAGACATAAACTTTCCAGTTATCTTGCTAAATTCTATTCAAACAATGGTTACATTATAATGAAGACTGATACAGAATCCACCATACAAATATAATTAGCAATGGCAGAATCATTATATAATTTATAATTGGATCGAGGTTCAGTTCCAGATTGTTATGAGGATGAAAAAAAAGAAATGTAATGATTTGATATTAATGCATATTTTTATTCTTCCTCTTCCTAACCTTTGCCAACCTTCAGCAGGATATTTGCTTTGTTGCATAGAGTGATTGGGAAAGTTAGGGATGATTATATAAATGAGTGATCACATTGAATATTTCCAGCTGTAACCTTTATTGGATACATAGCAGTAAATGGTCCTCAACCATCATCTCAAGAACATTTCAAGTATCTGGTTATTGTAGAATTATACAAATGTATATCAGCACTTGCATTTATTTATCAATATAAAACTAAGATCTTTTTCCTTGAGCCATTTAAAACAAAGTTAAAGGAAGTCCTATATCTTTCCTTAGAGAATAGTGTGTCCCATGAGGGTAACCATTCTAGGCAGTACTTAATAGGTTATCTGAGTTATACTGCCTTCTTCTGTGCATGAATTTTATAAACTTATACAAAACAAATAAACTTTAGAAAACACATATCAGAGTTTACTCAATCTATTAATTCAGGGATTTTTTTGAAAGTTATTTAGATTCTCTTGAAGTATTTTTCTTATTTTAACCTTACAAAGAAACTGGAAATGTTGTTTTATGGACTTACTGATAAGACAGTTTGTTGTTTTAAGTTGTTTTTCTCATGGTGGTAGTAAGTATGCATTGTGCCATGATACTTTTCCAGCATGATCTAAAGCCAACAGTATATGTTCACAGACTCTGGAGTACACGGTCTTCATTAGTAAAAAGTGTAACAGTTAATAATGATTTTTATTTTAGGTATTATGAAAGTGTTTTTGAATCAGGATAGATCATTCTTGATATAAAGCTTATACTTACTGGTTGCCCTACCACAGGGGTTGGCAAACTTTCTTTAAAGGGCCAAGTGATAAGTATTTTAGCCTTTGTGGGCTCTACAAGTGTGGCTATGTGCCAATAGAACCTTATTTACTGACAGTGAAATTTGAATTCTATGTAATTTTCATGTGTCATGAAATATTATTCTTCCTTTGATATTTTTTTCAACCATTTAAAAATGTAAAACAAGTTACAAGTTACAAATAGAATTTGACTCTCAAGTTGTGTAGTTAGCCAACCCCTGCCCTAGCAGTTGATTTTTCTTAATTAACTTTTTAATCTAATTTAAAACTGAAGATTTACTGCTTAAAACCTTTTAGAGGTACATGGCTTGTGTTGAATTATTTTATAGGAAGCTCTATCCTGGGGGAAAAAATGCCGATAAATAAAGCTAAGTAACTTTTATTTTGACCATAAGAAGGCAGTTGAAAATTCCATAAAGCACTCATTTCCTTGATTGCACAGAGGAATCTTGCTATTGCTAAGCTGGGTTTTCTAACACAGGTAAAAATCCCATTACAGCAAATATTTGTGTAGTGGAAATATTTTATAGTGGAAGTATTCGTTCCACAGCTGTATTAAGCACCTACTCTTTTGAGGCACTTAGCCGGTAGAAAAATAAATCTCCCATGGATGCATCTTGCTCCTGACAGCCTTACAAGCCTAACAAGGAATATAAAATCTGTACAACTTGGGGCTAGAAATGGACCAAATAGGAGTGGAAGCTAACGAGAAGGAGAACGCAGGGGCGCCTGGGTGGCTCAGTTGGTTAAGTATCTGACTTCAGCTCAGGTCATAATCTTGCGGTCTGTGAGTTCACGCCCCGCATTGGGCTCTGGGCTAACAGCTCAGAGCCTGGAGCCTGCTTCGGATTCTGTGTCTCCTTCTCTCTCTGTCCCTCCCCCACTCACACTCTATCTCTCTCTGTCTCTCAAAAATGGATAAATGGTAAAAATAAATAAATAAATAAAAATTAAAAATTAAAAAAAGAATAAAGAGAATACAGAGAAAAACAACAGGGGTAGAAACTCAGAAGTAGGAGTAGAGAAGATAAAACACTGGAACTATATTAAAAATACTTATATGGGATTAGTGCAAGGCCGACAATTGAATGTTGCTCATTGTACCCCAATAACCATTCAGTACTGGGTTTGTCTGGAGGACAGTTCCTGCCTGGTGCTGTTGCTTGGATGACAAAAGGCAGGCTGGTGGAGCTGGTCTGAATAAAAGGTAGCTGGTAAACAGAGCTCAGGTTTTAGAGCCATTTTAATAAGGAGTTGATTCCCAGGCTGTTGAGTTTAGGCAGATTGCTTAATCTTTCTGAAACTCAGTTTCCCAAACTGTAAAATGGGGTCAGCAATTCTTATTTTCTGACTTGTAATTAAGAGTGCAACCTTTTCTTCCTAGTTTTGTGTTCTTTGCTTGTTGCTTACTGAAATTTGAGAGGCAGCTTAGTAGAATGTGGATATCTTTTGGAACTAGAAATGGGGACAACTCTGGACTCACATGCTACCATTAGTACTTACTGTATAAATTTGAGACAGTTATTTAATTTCTCTATTAAATAAGGATACCTCACAATTTTGTAATGAAAATTAAATCAACTAAAGTGAGGGGCGCCTGGGTGGCTCAGTCAGTTAAGCATTCGACTTCGGCTCAGGTCATGATCTGACGGTTCATGGGTTTGAGCCCCGCGTTGGGCTCTGTGCTGACAGCTCAGAGCCTGGAACATGCTTCAGACTCTGTGTCTCCTCCTCTCTCTGCCCCTCTCATGCTTATGCTCTGTCTCTCCCTGTCTCTCAATAATAATAAATAAACGTTAAAAAGAATTAACTAAAGTGATCAGTTTTCTACTTTTTAAAGACCAAATTCCTACAGTATATTTTCTTGATATATTCTTATAGTCCAAGCTGATACTATTGCTCTTAGGGTTTTTTTTTCAGCCTATTTTAAAAAATATAGCTGTATTGAATTACAGAGATAATAATAGTTAATAATAATATTAATAATATTAACTTAGACTTAATGCTTACTGTATGCCAGGCTCTGAGCTAAAAATTTGTATATATAATTTCATATACTTTTCACAACTGTTAAATGTAGATATTATTATAATTTATATTTTGCAGATTGGAAATATGATGCTTACAAAATTAAGCAGTTTGCCCCCGATTACACAGCTAGTAAGGGATGCAGTCGAGATTTGAACCCAGAAAGGCTGATTCTACTCTCCTAAACATCTTCCATGTAATTCATATACACTTCCCTTGAGGCAGCTGGCCCACTTGCTTCCTGTTGCTACAAACATTGTGCACTCAGTGGAAATCAGGCACTTATTAGGTCTGATTTTGGAAATGGAACTGCCTTTCTTTATTGAACTCCCTATGCTCTTGTATTTTTTCAGGACACAAATCATTACCTGACATCATATATTTGTGTGTTTGTTTTCTGTTCCCCTTCACTAGTATATATTTTGCAGAAGAGGAGAAAATTCATGGTTAGTCCCTCCTTACATGTCCAATGCCTAAAATAACATGTAACAGGTGCTCAATAAATATTTGTTTTATGCATGAATGAGTGAAGTGTTTGTGCAAATTATCAAAAATTTACATTTAAGTATTATTTGTCTTTCTAGCTTGGATTAGAGGAAAAAGAAAGACTCCACCTACGATGGAGGTAAGAATACACAACAAAAATATTCAAATAGCATGTATTTATAATGCTGTGTTTCTCAGTTGGGAGTTTACATGAAGCCTCAGAATAAATATTATGCATCTTCCCAGAGTGTTCATTTTACTCCACAGACAAGAATTTAAAACATCTTTATAATAAATGCACAAGTTATATAATATAACATTCAATTCACAGGAATTTTAAAATGAAAAAATACAAATGCAATACAAAATAAAAATATTTTTTAGAAAGTTTAGACTTAAAGCAGCTTACATCAGGATGTTTTGCCTGGTTCCTGGGAGCTGTGTTCTGCTATGGGTGCTTTGGTGCAAAAGTCTGAGAAATACTGAATCTCATGGTCCTATCCAAATCATCCTGTGCTTATTTTTCCCTCAATTTTATATCAAACGTAAAATGTTATAATTTTATATACATTTAACTCTATCATATCTGAAGAAACCTTAAAATATACAATTAGCGTGTAACATGGAACACTCAGTATAATAGATGAATTTTTATTTTAAACTTTAAAAACAGTTTTGGCAGCACAGAGAATAAAAAGTATAGCATTGCTGTGGTGTAGTATTTTTAAAACATAGTTATTTCATAATTTTTATTTTAAAACAATAGCCTAAAGTGTTCTAAAATTGTTTTGTTAGAATTAAATGTATTCCATAAGAGGAAATTTTCCAAATTGATTAGTATACTGCCTTCTCCTTTTCTTGTGTTTAGGACCTCCCTCTTCTTTTCTCTCCACTTTTCCTTCACTACTACAGCCCTGATGACAACAAAAATGTTGCTCCACCAGTCAGGCCCCACTTGTTGAGAGGTGGGGTACACCAGGGCAGAACTCATGGTGACCCATAAATTGACATACATATGCTCCATTTCTCCTGTACTGACCCCATCAGTGTTTGTCAGGCTGGGCTCTGAACAAGCTTATCTCTAAGCCCATTTATAGCTTTGTATGTTACTTCCACTTTTGCCCTGCCTTACTCTTGTCAGATCTTTCTAATATCTGTGAACCTTGGAAATAAAAGGGAAGAAAAAGTCATTGTGATTCAGGATTCAGAAGCATCCCCAGTGGTTTGCAGTGCTAGGAATCATCAAGGAGACCTTACAATTCCTCTTCACTTGGCCGTATTAAGAGTTCTTATTCTCAGAGCTAAAGCAGTTTCTTCTAACCTCAGAATTCTGAAAGCCTTCTTCCATGGAAACATTGATGTGCAAAGTGATTAGATGAAGGCACCTGAAACTATTAGAGCTAAGACACCACCCCTGTAAATTTCAAGTAATCCCAGCATTTCAGACAAGCTCCAATCAGAACAGTGAGACCAAGTCATTCTATCCATGATGCTCACATTCTTGAATATCGGAATAGGAGCCTTCCCTTGCATCTTTTCTAATGTATTATCAATGTCATCCTTCTTTATGCTCTTCTGCATCCTCCTCACCACACACACACACACACACACACACACACACACACACACACACCCTTTCCTCCCTCTTGATCTCTTCCATTGTGTTTCAGAAATTTCTGTTTCTTTGTTAGCAATTTATCCTTAACTTTTAATATTTCCTAGGAACTTTCTCTACCACAAAACCTCAACTGAAATCTGCCTGTGTCTGAAAGATAGTGAGCCTCCTTGTGCTCATTTTACCACAACCCACAGAAAGAATATGGGTTCAACTGTTTCTTTCTTTCCCTTGTCCCTTCCAAAATATTCTTTCATTTCGTGAACCTAGGGGAGAGTAGTAACTTTGTGACCTAAGTATGTTTTTCTCCACCTATTTATAATTTTTATCTCTCCCAACCTCCAGGCCACTCCCCACCCTGATGGTGAAGATGAGAACCAGACTTAGAGACTTCTTCAATGCCTTCCCAAGTCTTAGCTGTTCAGTTTTTTTTTTTTTTTTACTCCATCCACACTAATATCCATACCTCAACTGAACAACCACTAATGTAGCCACACCTTAGTTCTTACCATCACCAAACACCATTCTACCACTACAGTTTGTAAACTATTAAATCCCAGATTCTACATATGTCCGGTTAAGAGAAAACTACTTAATTTAAAGTAAGACAAGTTTACAGAAAGCCACAGGAATTAAATATATGGCTTAATGGGTTATTATAAGGTGAATTCCACAAGGTCAAAAATAGAACTTTGTCATCTAATCCAGAATCATGTACTCTGTCATAATACAGCCTCCCCCAAAACCAACCCTGAACCTTTTGCAGTAAATTTATATAATTTTATCACCCAAATGTACATTATAGTTTAGAGTTTTACATTTTGTAAAAACTTCATATTTGATTTAAATCTCCATCAATCTCTGTGGTTCTCCTCCATCCCTTTTATTTTCTTATAAATTTGTCTGTTGAAAAACCCAGCCTATTTGACCTGTAGATCTTGCCACAGTTTAGATTTTGTTGATCTTATGTTATTCATGTTAGTTCACGATGTTCCTCTGTCCTCTGTCTTTCCTTCAGTTTGCACCTTCATCCAGAAGCTGGCTACTCATGTTTGATCTTTTTGTCAAGACTGTAGAAAATGTTTGGCAAGACTATGGGAGAGCATATCTGGTTATCCCTCTTTTTGTGATTTGCACAGTTGCTTATGCTTCATACCTATGTCACTTCATTGGAAACAACCTCCTAATCTTGCATGTCTGTTAAAACTAGTTAGTTTTCAAGATGCTATCAGTCATTTGAGCTCTCTACGTTTTTTTCAAATCTCTTAGTGAATTCCCACCCCCAAATAGACTTCTGTCTCTTCTACCTGTACGCTACGGCTAAAGGTTAGCTAGTAACAATTAGAGTGCCATTTACAGTAGTGTCAGAAAATATTAAATACCCTGATATAAATTAAGCAAAATATATGCAAGACATGTACACTTAAAACCACAGAATGCTGTTGAGAGAAATTGAAGAAGACCCAAATTAATGGAGAGAAATATCTGTTCGTGGGTTGGAATATTTAATTGCTAAGACGTTACTTCTTCCAAACTGATCTGCAGTAGCAAAGCTTATACTTTATCATGCATCACCATCACCAGGAAGGCTTGTTAAAACACAGATTGCAGGTCCCAGCCCCAGAGTGGTTGATCCACTAGGTCTTAGGGTGAGGCTTGAATATTTTCATTGCATCAAGATCCTTGGTGATACTAATGCTGCTGGTCAAGAGCCCATGCCTTGCAAACCACTGGTGTAGAGAGTTAGTCAAATAAAAATCAAGTTAAAATTCCACCAGACTTGTAGAAATCAAGATATAGATGAATTCTAAAATATATTTGAAAATGCAAAGGCCCTAAAGTAGCTGAAAGCAATCATGAAAAAGGAGATTAAAAATTAGAGAACTTACACTGTCTGGCACTAAGACTTACTCTAAAACTGTAGTAATGAGGTACTGGGATAAGCATATATAAATAAATGAATGGACAAGAATAGAGAATCCAGGGGCGCCTGGGTGGCTCAGTCGGTTAAGCATCCGACTTTGGTTCAGGTCATGATCTCACAGTTTGTGGGTTTGAGCACCACATTGGGCTCTGTGCTGATGGTCCAGAGCCTGGAGCCTGCTTCGGATTCTGTGTCTCCTTCTGTCTCTGCCCCTCCCCCACCTGTGCTCTGTCACTCTCTGTCTCTCAAAAATAAATAAATGTAAAAAAAAAATTAAAAAAAAAAAAGAATAGAGAATCCAGAAGTAGACACCATACAGCCAATTGACTTTGACAATGGCACCAAAGGAACACAATTACAAATGGAAAGCCTTTTCAACAAATGGTGTTAGAATAACTTAATGTCCACATGGAAAAAATAAAGATCCCTACCTGACATCATGTGCCAGTATTAATTCAAGATGGAACATAGACTAAACATAAAAGCTAAAACTTAAAATCCTTCTAGAAGAAACCATAGTGGAATATTTTCACAACTTGGGGGTAAACAAGAGATAGAAAGCACTATCCAGAAGGGAGAAGCATTGATCATTTGAACTTAACCAAAATTAAAACTAAGCTTCTCAAAAAATAACATCAGCAAAGCAGTAAACTGGGAGAAAATAATCACAGCATATGTATTTGACAAGACTCGTATCCAGACTATACAAAGAACACCTCAACTCAATGATTTAAAAGAAAAGAAGGCAACGCTAATAAAAATTGGGTAAAAATCTTGAACAGTCACTTTATAAAATACAAGAATGAGCACTAAGCCTATGAAAAGATACTCACCATCTCTAGTCATCAGGGAAACCACAATGAGATGCCACTCTACTAGACACACAAGAAAAGAGCTAAAATTCAAAAGATTAACAATAACTAGAGCAACCATACCTTTCATGTAGTACTGGTTGTTGTAAAAATAATGCAACCACATTAAAAAACTGGCTGTTTTTTATAAAATCAAACACATCTACCCTCTGACACCAGTTTTTTTTCTCCTGGCCCCTTTCAAGTCTGAAGGAATAAATATTTAGGCATATTTCTTGGGAAGCTCTGTCCGAAAGAAGGTCTAGTTGGCTGGCAGACCATGAATGGCCTCCTGATTTGTGCCCAGTCCACGTTTTCTTACTTTCCTCCTTCTGCTTGTTATACCCACTCAACTCTACAAGAACTCCCTACTGTTTCTCAGGTTTCCTGTCTTTTCCCTCTCTCATCAGCTGGCACACTTCTGCTTGTGCTTAGTTCCCTTTAAAGTTCTTTGATGGGATTCTTTGATTCCCTTTAAAATTCCTCGACTGTTTGCTCAACTTTTCGTCGCGTAGAGTTAATCGCTCCTATCTAATTAGAACTGTACTGCCATGTACAGCTGTGTAGCTCTTTGAGTTCAGTATTATAACTCTCTGTTTTATTTTTCCATCTTTCTGACTATAGTATGAGCTGTATGGCACAAGACATATTTGTTTGTATGTCACAGATACCTAACACAGAGCCTGATTAATTATTTGATAAGTTTTGTTGACAGAATTGGAAATCTCATTGCCATGTAAGCATATTCC